CACATTAGGACCCATAATCCTCATAGAACAATCCCTGACGTCTGTAAGCTACTTGAACATAGTTGCAGACCAGGTTCACCCATTCATGGCAACAGTTTTTCCTGAGGGGGATGGTGTTTACCAACAGGATAATGCACCATGTCACAAGGGTCGAATCGTCATGGATTGGTTCGAGGAACATTCCAGTGACTTTCAAGTCATGTCTTGGCCCCCAAATTCACCTGGCCTTAATCCAATAGAGCAGTTGTAGTCCTACTTGGAAAACCAAATTCGTGCTGCCACGCTACCCCCTCGCAATGTGAGGGAATTGCAGGACCGGTTGGTGAGCGCTTGGAACCAGATACCTCAGACTACCTATCAGCACCTTGTGGAATCAATGCAAAGGCGGGTGCTAGCAGTTTTGAGTGCTAAAGGTGGTCCTACATGTTATTAGAAGGGTGGTCATAATGTAATGGCTCTTCTGTGTATATATATATATATATATACAGAGAGAGATCATGATATAAATAGTAAAGAAAGGATTCTTATAGCGTGTTCTTACTGAAATACAGCATGTTTGATTGGTTATTTTCCTTGAACCGGTCCAAATCTGAATGTGCATTCCGAATCTATAATTTTTAAATTTGTGAATATTTTTTTAAAACATTAACGCAACGAGTTCTTCTTGTTTGTGTATGTGTGAGGAATGTTCCCGCCTCAATAAAGGTGTTTGTGTTAATTTAGAACAAAATAGAGAGGAATGTTTGTATGTTTTGATATAAAACGTCGTATAACATTTAACTCTGCGACGTCCATTACACGCTTAAAACAGACAGCAAATATCTTGACTTCTCCAGAATGCTTCCTACAGAAAAAAAAGCAAATTTTCTAATTTCCTATGTTTTGCTTTAGTGCGTATTCTGTTTTTTCTTTTTCTTTTTTTTTAAATATGCATTTTGTATTTTTTCATGTGCAATGTTCTTTATTTCATTCCTTAATTATTATATTTTTTAATAAATACTATTTATTGTTTCCGATATTTTTTTAACACGAAACAAACTCTGTTAACCTAATATGGCCCACAGCAGGGTTAAAACTATGCAGACGGGATTTAGACCAGTAGAATCAAGAAACAAATTATTAGGGGGAAGGTATTGGTTTCTGTTATAACTATCTTGAATACAATTTTCTCTGTCCAACCCATTTTCAAACAATATCAAGGCCAAAACTGCACATTTTTAGATAGTTTATAAAATGGGCAATTGTCATAGTAACAAAAAATTTCAAAAAAGTCGTGGTGTTATCATTCTTTTGTTGCAGTTTTGTAGATGAGAAATGGACAGTCAAGAGCTAAGACAAGCCTATTGAAGTTTGACTTTTCAAACAATTGAGAATGGATAGTAGTAGTTTTTTAGCTGAACGTCAAATTTTTTTTTACTATGAAACATTGAAGGATCTTTTATAGTAATAAAAAAATAACCAGCATTTAAAAAGCTGCTATGAGCAAGAAATGCATGCAATATCATCGAAACTGAATTGCATCAAAGTTATTTGATAAACGAAATTAATGTCAGTATTGTTAAAGTAAAACTTTCAGCCACCAGAAAAAGAAAAAAAAAATATCCCTGTAAAAAAAACTGCTCAGTACTCTCATCTTATGATACTGTTAAAAGGTCACACGTCCTCGAGGGTCAAATTTTAGTGGGTAGAAAAAAGGGGCGAAACTATCCTGCAAGAATAGTGCTATCTTGAAAAATGTGGTATTGTTTCTATGTATTATTTTTATTTTACTTTTTTTGCACTGTGTCTCATGAAACTATGTATCGTGACAGTAAGACTAATAAGTTAAAAGTTGTTGAGTTTTTATGCATACAAAAAATACATTTTCTTCATTGCTATTCAGGCAAATTAACTGCATGCTTAGCAAACTCTAAATTGAATAAAACAAACATAAGTCACTAAAACTTATTGTTCAGAAATGGATAAGATTTTTACTCATAAAACTTATTTGCACTTTTGACTTATTTGACTAGTATAAACTTATTTGAATACTTTTCTTATTTGCACTTTTGACATAGTTATCCCGTAGTTTTCTAGATAAGTAAGGTTTTTATTTCCTTGAATATTTTTCACGCTAAACTTAATGAAACGAAATCAGTACCATGGGAGGAACTACTTTACTCTACTTTGTCTCATTGCACTGAAAATTCAGTATCGTATTATTTGTATCTTGCAAAAATCCAGACGGAAATAACTAACTAGCATGTCATCAATATCAAATTAGTCAAGCAGTATTAAAATTAGTCAATATACCGTTAAAATATGTAGATTTTGATCACTAATTAGGTTCAAGATTGAAAACTAAAAATTTGAAACACTTTTTTGAATTTTTATGTTAAGGTCAATTAAAGGTAATGCTTTCGAAGTAATTAAAACTTTTGCGCGTGTCGAAAAATAAGTTAAACTGGCCGTAAATGACTTATTTTCGGCTCCATATCACAAATTTGCCGTTTCAGGTACAAGTTGTACTCATTCATTCTACTAATTTCACTTTCAAAGTAATCTGGTATCGAAAAATAAATTAAACTTGCCGTAAATGACTTATTTTCGGCTCCATATCACAAATTTGCTGTTTCAGGTACAAGTTGTACTCATTCATTCGATTAATTTCACCTTCAAAGTAATCTGGTATAGCAGCCATTCTGAAATGAAGAACAATACTTTTGACATCAAAACTTATCTGCATTATCCGGTTTGACATACGCTTGCTTTTACATTAAACATTGAGCATAGCAATATTAAATTTTTAATCTCAATTTCAGTTCAATCCTGATAGTAGTATAAATAATCAACGGTAAAGTGTGAAAAATAAAAAAACGAACCACCCAGAATAGCTTTCGATCGGATTTTCACTTTCTCGGATTCAATCTTAATGGCTCGGAAGGTGACTTTAAATATGCTAAGTAATAAGTGCAAATGATATTTTAAGTTACGAAATCATATGTATAAATATGTTTTCTCTGAATAAACATACCCTTTTTTCGATAGATTTGGATTTCTAATCTCCAAATTATAGGGGGTGGCCACAATCTTGGAAATATGGTTCCAATAGTTAGACAGGCTTAATGTTAATTTGACTTTTTGCGTGTTTCCTTATATCTCGTAAACTTTTTAAGCAAATGGAAAACTTTTTACACACAATCATAAAATTCGTTTACCCAAAGATAATCTTTATGCAAAAAATAACTTTTAGTAAATATTTATTATTTTTATTACTTTGTTTAATAATGGTAGAAAAAAATTTCAATTGTAAGGAGTACAATTTATAAAATTTTCGATTATATTCTTTG